CTCTGGCCCACGTACATACACCCAACATGTTCAACATGCGATGCTCAATGAAATATCATTTCTCGGTCACAGGATTTGCAGGGTCTTGAATGATCTTGACCTGCTTCTATGGTGACCTCTTGTCCCAGGGCCACTTTCGCATTCTCAAGATTTCTCAAAGGCCCCTTTTCCATGCATCCATCTCCACTTGTCTCGCACAAGTAGAAGTATGATCAGGGTGTCTCAGCCAACAAAGGTCTCGGACGGGGCCAACACCCAGCCATCAGGCGCCGATGGCCGCGAGGTCATGGGCCGTCATTCGCCGGAAGTGCTGGGGAAATGCCAATGGAGTGTCGTCCTAAAGTGGTAACGCTAACTGGCGCTAACTCTGCGTTTGAACCATCATACATGTGCTGGGGGATGTTTTTTTGTTCAGGGTTTTCGGGTCCTGTTTTAGGTTCTCCACTTTGCTCAACTCCACTTCATATTGACTGACTAGCGGAAAACTCAGGATCTGTCACTAGCTGTGGTCGAACTTTTGAATTGAGACCACGCAGTGGAACCCAAGTGCTTCTAGCATGCTCTTGCTAAATGACCACCGGGCCCCAGCTCCGAGACGACCCTCATGACTGCCGAAAGCAAGACACCACGGCGGGCGGAGAATCATTGACAGCTCATCGAGCCGGCGTGGTTTCAACAGCCACAAGCCGTCAAAGCATGTTAGACTCTTACACCCAAGCGTTTTGTCCCCTTTTATATCTTTGTATAGTCAAGTTTGACGCATCTATGTCTTGAAGTCAGGTTTTGTATGATAATATACTGTGTACTGTGTATATATAAGATATGTGTGATGCTTTGCGCAGTGATCTATATAGAATTATTTGGATGATACTATCAAACAGAAATGAAGACCAACCAGAGCAAGTGGCAATGACAACATGCATCTTTGCGGTTAGGCTTGACACAGCCCCAAAGAAGCAAAGAGGAACCACACTGTTTATTGTTCAGCCCCCCAAAATCGAGAAGTAGTCTATATTGATATTGATAAATCTATATAATTTTTTCTGACCTGCTTTTAAAGAAGTTGAACAGTTGATTTCCAAAAAATATTGATTCCCAGGGTTCCCACACCGGGTCCTGCACCTGTTCCAACACCACCCAGGGTTCCCACACCAACCAGAATTCCCAGCAACAAACGGAAGGGCAGAGCACAGAAAGGGTTTTGCAAATCCTATTCTACTGACTCTGACTGGGCCAAGGCCCAGGACTTTCGTGGAACCTGGCCTCATTCACGGACCATTCAATTTTAGTGGAAGGGTGGACCCTTTAGAAACCTTTCAAAGCTTCTTGGAAGGTATTTTGGAGGTACTCGTGAAGCAGTGCTTGCTGACACCCTTTCCGTACACACACCCTGCATTTTGGATTTCCCAGGAAGGAGCAGGTTTCCAAGCTTTTCATCATGGGGATGGTCGGTGCCAGGTGGAACCTTGAAAGAATCACCAAAAAATATTACCTGCTTTTAAAGAAAACAGTGATCTACCAGGCTGCGACCGTCGCAACCTCTTAGAACAGTCACTAGCGCTAGCGATGGTTCTAGTGGAGTTTTCACTTCGCCGGAGCAGCCTCTAAGTACCGACGGTCGCAAAAACTTTCTGCGAAGGACAGTGTTTTGAGTCAGGTCCAGCGAAATCAGGACCCCCCCTGAGCGTCTCACTAGCGCTAGCGATGGTTTTAGGAGGGGGCGACCGTCGCACTCTGTTAAATCAGTGTTTTCCTTAAATGCAGGTAATATTTTTTGGTGTATTTTTATGCAAACCCCCCTCGAGGAGCACTAGCGCTAGCGACGGTTAATTATTTATTGTCTTTCTGCAAAGGGCCGCCGACGAGCGTCTCACTAGCGCTAGCGATGGTTATTTATGCAATGTCTTTTCAGCAAAGGACCTCCCGACGAGCGTCTCACTAGCGCTAGCGATGGTTTAATTATGTATTGTTTTTCAGAAAAGGACCTCCCGACGAGCGTCTCACTAGCGCTAGCGATGGTTTAATTATGTAGTGTTTTTCTGCAAAGGACTCCCCGACGAGCGTCTCACTAGCGCTAGCGATGGTTTGGTTCTAGGGTGCCGCAAGCGTTTGAAGCTGTCAGGTTGGAAGCTCGTGATTGAACATGGAAAGTAATATTTGTTCAAAATCAACTTATCAACTTCTATAAAAGCAGGCCAGTTTTACATTATGCTAATATACGGTGAAGCTACTGTAAATGATTGAATTGCTATGCTAGTAGCCTGAGGGTCGAAGCTGTTCTAAAACCCCGCGATGTACATGGCAAGCGTGAAAGCAAGCGCCAAAGCCAGCGTGAGCAGGAAGGTTTTAATGGCTTCAATCTGTTTCTTCCGAGCCCATTCCTGATACTCCCGAGGCACCCGTCGCATTGAAAAGACACCGTCCACACTCCAGCGACCCAGCATGTTTGAAGCTCATTCACTTCGTAAGCTGGACAAGTACAAATAGCCGGCACCCCAGGACATGCCAAAGATGCCACCATACCCAACTGAATGCAATCCTAGAAGGACCAGCAGTAAAAGAGCCAAGAGAATAGCTGCACATAGTCGAATGATCGACTCTCTTTTGGTAATGCTGCGATTTTCCTGTACTGCTTGCTCCATGGCCGACATTTCTTGGAAGGGGCCAGCGGACATGATCCAAGGGGCTAAGCCTAAGCCGCTAAGTGAACTTGGCTCACACTAGGTGTGCTCTTTCTGTTGTGGTCTTCCTTATTTTCAGTGTTCTTTCTTCCTTCTTCAAAGCACAAAGAAACAACAATTACAGTACCTACAGTGACAGAAATAACACCCTCAACTTTCAGAGTCTGTGCTTCTGTACCAGCTTGAGCCCAGCAATCCAGTCCGAATGCAAGTAAAAGCCCAGCTTTCCAAGGCTTCCCACCAAATCCCACCGGGGGATAGTCCCAGTCTTGCAGGCGAGGCTCTTGCTTTGACCTTGTCCAGTGCAGAAGAGCCATAGAGGCTGGGCATTTTCTCCTGACTCACAGGCAGTATCTTTGTGAAGATTTCCAGCCCCAAGGGCCATACAAGAGAAAAAAGGGCCAAATACATCCACATACTGAAATGGACTCTCTCGGCGTTGACTACATGAAACTGTGCGTCGCAGTCTTTGAGAGTCGCGCGCACCTCCGTACGCTCGGCTCCGCCGTCCGTGCCGCGTGGCACCCGATCCCACCCGTCTGTCCGTCAGCAGCTGCTCCGCCTGGTCGATGGGGCGAGGGATCGTGTACCCACAAGCACGATGCCGTGTCAATGATCCTGTTTCAACGAATGTTCAACTGATCAATATATACCAATGGTTGAATGCATGTCGGCAAATGGTTGGAGGTGGTGAATACATCAATGTGTCTAATTATTTGGCGGTCTCTCTAGGATTGAGCTCATGTTCAGTCTGTTTTCTCTACACCTCTGAGAAACATGGCTTCGGACTATTTCGGCAGCTTTGGGCTATGGCTCAATACGTAGCTAGTAGCTCATCTCATCTCTAAATTTGATATGCCAACAATAAGATCTGATGTCTTCGCTGCGTGACTCTGATCCTCAGTCCCCTGCCTGCTCCGCAAACTTCTTCCTCCGTCCCGATTGCTGCTCCTGCTCACATACAAAGGATCTGGAATGGATCGTGATGATTCCATGCCAACCAGGAATCAGGAGCCTCCACCGATGTCATCAAGTTTCCATGCTTCTTTCTCGCCCAGTGGCTCTTCTATTTGAGTCATCGCAAGCCAGTTCCCCCTTACCATCCCAAAACAGAAAAAACATCCGGGAAGCAAACAACACGCCACAGCACCTTGCGAAGCCTCTCGTTCCAAAGATACCACCCTATTTTATCCTATATAACTATATAGTAGTCCGCCGACCCCCAGTCTAGGCCGATGAACGTGAGCGTGAGCGGAGCGGGGCACGGCCGGCGTCTCGCTCCGCACCTCGGGGATGGGCTCCGGAGGCCCTCGCGGCCGCAGGGGAAGCTCCGGCGGCGGCATGCCGAGGCCATCCCACTTCCTCGGGTGGCAAGGAATGCGAAGGCGAATCCTTAAGGTGGAGTGAATATGAAGGATTTGAGTTCAAGGGAGGTCTTCAGAAGGGAAGCCTTCAGATTGAAAAGGGGCAAAGCTAAAAAACTACATATCATGTCATAAGTCAGTATATACTATATATGCCATATTAAAGTTGTCAGCAAAACACGTTTAACTTACTGATCAGCCAGCCACCAGCCACTCTATCACTTGGGAGTGGCCAAGTCATCCGGCTTGGGTCAGGTTTAATCAGTGACCTCAAGATACCTCAAGGAGATGTTGAGAAACAACATGCCCTGTAACAGAACTGGTGGCAGATTGATACCGCACACCACCCATGTACACCATGACAAACATGATGAAGAAACTGTCAGATGCTCACCATGTCTACCTACACTGCTTTGGGGATGTAGGTCTAGGTCAGTCTAGGTTTTGACCAAGCAAGGGTCTATTTGCAGGGTTCACATGGCTTGAGGCTTGAGGGCTCTCTTGCAACACGTGTAGAGCACATTCACTCGACTCACCCTTCCACTATTCCCCGTGTCAGGCACCACTCACATCTTTTGGTCCAAGATGCAAAACGATGTCCGTGATGCTCCAAGCGTAGCCACTGTTGACCAAGCGCCCGCTGTACGGCCTCAGTTGCATTCAACAGAAATCATCTTTTGCAACATACTTCGTCAAAGCGGTCGAAGCTGCTGTTCACCGGCAAACTCGTAACTTGCAGCTATGTAGAATAGTGGATGCTTAGCACGGGTCGGTGTTTTTCTCTGCACGGTGTGGTGCACATTGTATGTTCATCTGTTTTGTTTCTGGGCCAACATGTGCTATAAGCCTCCCACAGTGGAGTGGAAATGGCAGCAACGAACGCAAAGCCCAACATGCTTTCGACTTGCCATGAGTATAGGTATGCACGCATAAAGGTAAGCCAACAATCTTAAGTTCAATCATTCAACCAGACATATCCATACCTGCACCTCTGCTCCGCCCATCCTTGCTCCCCCTCGATGGCCCTCGTTCTTTCCTCCTGCTCTGCACGTTCTGCCCGGTGAATCCTCCACATCGCCGCTGTGGTAAAGCTGCGCCGTTGGCGCTGGTGCGCATAGCAGCGCGGCAGAGGAAAATCAATTTCCAACCAGCGTGTGGCAGTCCAACCTGGACTATAGACTTGGACTCTCTGGCAGTTATTATCCACTAGAACCCGAAGCACACACATATATATAGAGAGAGAGATAGATAGATATAGATATAGATATACAACAAAGTATATACATATATGTGACATTATGTGTGTGTGTGGTGTGATGTGTGTGTGTGTGTCACTTGAACTTGCGAGGTAGTTGATTCCTTCCCGTGGCCTTTTACCCACAACTGGTTGCGGACAAAAACTCGCTCAAACTGAGTCGTCAAACACTTGCATGACCAACATTTAGCTTTTGCAGAATAATAGGCATTAACGGGCTAGGTCTTCAAAATCCCTGTTGCATGATTGTACTTTACTAACTGCTTGTGTCCAGGAAAAAAGGGCCACTGAATGAATGGAATACATTGTATAGTGAATGATAGTTAATTCATTGTTCGATACAACGTCGGTGAACTTCCCCCTTTGAGAACCATCAACACATTCCAAAAACACAATGTCACCTTGAGTTCCAGGCAACCCATATCTTCCGCCCAGGGCTCCACATGCTTCGCCTCTGCGCTGTGCATCACGTGTACGGCCCTCACCGAGCTCAACGACACCGAGGCCTCCAAGAAGGGCCGATCGGCCGAGCGCCGCTGCTGACCCCAGGGCGGGTTCATCACCACCAGCTCTGGGTCCTTGGGGAACCACCCGCCGGCCATGCCCGCCCAGCGTCCAACGGGAGACGAACGCGGCTGGAAGAATCCCCGCGCTCGACGCCGCGGGCTCAGACGTCCATGTCGATTGGGAGGATGCAATGGTTGGGAGGTTGGAACCAAAGACATGGCCCGTTCCAAGATATATAGTTATATAATATATATATATAGTTATATACATAGTTATATAATGCACATTGGTGCATGTCACCAAACCCAAGCGTGTCCACACTGTGAGAAAATATTGTATGTGGCGATCGCAACCTTCCAAAATTCAGCCGAATGGTTTGTGTCTACCCAGGGATGCTCACATGGCATTAACATGCCATATTTAGATCGTGATTGAACTATCGAGCTTGATCGCCCTGAGTCAGGCAAAATAAAACACTCACTCACAAGCATGCGATGCATTGTATTTCTGTTGCAGGCATTTGCGTGTGAAGGTAGGTGCAACATCATCCGTTCAATCAGAACGTGAACTTCCATGCTTATTTATCCCAAGCCCCAAAGAAATCACATGAAACAACACACTGTCCAGATTCTTGGCGGGACCCAACACCGACACCTGTTCCTGCCATCTGGGCTGATCCAGGAGTCAATCCGCAAGTCTTCCAGCTGTGGACACTTCGCGAGATCCTGCTGGATGATCTGCGCGCGGCGTCGCAGGCCTTGCTCCTCTAGGGCCTCTTCTAAGACCTCACAGGTCTTCGGGTCCACCTGGCGAAGATCTGGACCAACGAAATGGGCGCGAAAGCGGGGTGTCGATCCTTTCATTTGTGCACCCCTAACTTAGAACTCTCGACTCGAAGTCAAAAACATTCACAAACGACTCTTTGGCAAACACCTGCAAAAACGACCGGTTGATTAGTGGTACAACCAGCACTCGCATTGGTCAAAGCACCTCCACAAAAATGGCCGTGGGCGCCCCCAGTAGCAAAGCGCCGATGCCCAGAATCCCATTCCCTGCGCCCAAATCCAACACACCTTCCTCCAGTTCTGCAAACGTGTCCTGCCGATCTATGCCCATGAGCCAGCAAGCTGCAGTGTCGCCATCCGTGGCATACTGTTCCAGCTGTGGTTTGTGGGATGGATGCCTTGGGAGCTCCGACAGCCGCATGGCCAAATGCTTTTGCTTCCAAGCACTGCGCGATGCCCGTGAGGTGCGAGGTTCTCGCGCTCTGAGGAGCGCAAAGCCCAAGGCCCAAAGCCCAAGGCCAAGCGGGGAGGTCTTTCCTGCTCCCGCTGATCGTTGTGGTCGCTGGTGTTTCCGTGGCACCCAGTGCTGGGCACGACTCCCAGGCGAGCAAGCACTTGCAAGCATCGGAGAAACCGAACGGCCCAATATTCAGCGGAATAGGGAAGTAACTCGCCCGAATGGCGGGTTGTATGTGTGTGTGTGCCCACTTGCCACATGTTGGATCATATTGCGGAGACTATATAGTGAAACCTGCGGACCACAAGGTCCAGTTCATAACATGATACATCTGTTGAGCTACACTGCCGGTTGCATACACATTTAGCATTTAAAAGGATAATGTTCCTCCAAACAGTGTTAACTGTTGATATTAGGGTGAAGTCTTACATGTCTTACATTGCCTGAACCCCGCTTACAATGAGCAAGGAACTATTGAGCAAAAACCGCACCCACACCTTCTTCATCCTTCTTCCATCGACATGCGTAGCTCTTCCAGTTGAACGCGGTCACTATGATTCTATCAGCAACACCCATGCCCTACAAGCCCTTACCGTACCGCAAAACTATTTAATATGTCTAAAAAGTCAGTCTGACTGTCAAAAACACTGGCTCAAGTCACATAATACTTGCAGAAACTCTTCGAGCGATCGTGTAACTGAAGACGAGAACACGCCCGGTACTTTAGGGTGGCTTGGCTGTATTCAACATGTCTACTCCCCTGCAGATTACCGTAGGTTGTAGAGGAAAATTGTCTTCCACCAGTCAATTCTCAGGTTCATTCAGGCTCCATGTTCGGGGGCCAAAAGCTTTCAGGATACACAAGCGCGCTGAAGTACTGAACACCTGAAGAGTTTTTTTGGGGCCGTTTGTTTGCTTGTGCTAAACATGCCGAGGACTTGCGCTCTTTTAAAACCAATATGTATATGTATATATATATATGCGACTTCCAGTGTCGGATACTAATACGCTCCCGTATATGTTCTTTAAAAGAAGAAACATAGTGCCCCTCAATTGTCAAGTTGAGAAGATGGACATTCTATCAGAGACAACAAATCGAAGGGCTCAGCAAGAGCAATCAGGACAGGTCCTCTTGATAGGAAGGAACATTTGAAGAAATAACAATTAGTCACGCCACATTCAACAAATAGGACCTGATGTCAGCATGCGCACACGTATCATTTTGGCGCTTGCGCTCCCAAAGCCAAGTCAAATACTCATCATCTGACGAAGCGTCTTCATCAGTACTTGCGCCATCGGCCCGAGGCACCTCTTTATCATACCTGGCGCCAGTATGTTTTCAGCTTTTGCGGCATGCATTTGTTGTCATGTCTGAGAAACACAGGTGCGCTAGCTTCTGGAGAAAAAACATCCAGTTGTATCGTTTTTGTGGGGTTGTAGGAAAGACCCCGGGCTATCCCGACAGCCATGAGTGGGCCATACCCACACCCTTTGAATCATGTTTTTGAACAAGTGCTCTTTGTACAACTACGGCGCGAGAGTTCTGGCTTCGAAGTTCCAAAAACTGACTCAAGTCCTAAACCGTCCACCAAGATGCTCAGAAGATTGTCGTGGATTGCCTAGTTCACCATCTCTGCTCAGTGGTTCAAGGAGTGGCCGCAGCTGGCGCGCGAGCACCGGATGCGTCGCAGTGGTGCACCTCCAAACCTCGCTTGCGTTCCATTTGCTGCAGAAATTCTGGGTGACTGCAATCGTATCCTCGACGCGGGGGGTTTCCGGACGTTGTTCCGAGAATGTCTGAGTGAACCTTGGAACATCCTTGTCTGGGGGGGACCCGGGGTCACGTATGGTCACGCGGCATGACCAAGTCATGTTGCTCTTCAATTCCAAATCCAGCCTAGCTCATGTGTACGCTGTTTAAAGCGGAAAAATAGAGACACGCACACACACACACAGTTCAAACACTGGACATGCATTGCTCATTGCTCATCTTCCCACTTTTGCCAACAAGTGCCACCTTCGGGAAGTTCCCTTCACGCTTAAATCCTCAAGAAACTGAAGCTTAAGTTGTTGTAAAAGTGCTTTGGTTTGTTGTAAAAGTGCTCCAAGATGGGGCTTTTGCTAGATGGAAGTTGAATGAAGTTGGAAGTTTCCAAGGGAAGAAGTTTCAAACCCACCCACCTTGGAGTCTGATGGTGGTTCAGCTGGTTGCTGGTTGTGGGTGAGTTTCCATGTTAACTTGGAAGTTTCCAAGGGAAGAAGTTTCCATCCCACCCACCCACCTGGGAGTCTGATGGTTGTTTAGCTGGTTGCTGGTTGTAGGTGAGTTTCCATGTAACTTGGAAGTTTCCAAGGGAAGAAGTTTCAATCCCATCCCAC